TCACCAGGCTCAGCGTTGTTTTTCGATGATGGTTATTGTCAGCACTGCCAATTTTAAATGTTATACATCCTTTAAATACTTTAGCTCAAAAATTAATCCGTTTCAGATATTTTCACTTAAAACAAGACCCAATGTATGCCCGTCTATGTGCGCTTACAATCAATGAATACACCCTCCCTACTAGTAGTTTTAAAGTGTTAAATGGCGAACCCGCACAGCAGCGCTAAGTTGTACATCAACCATAAACGCATGAATACTCGCCATCGCGATTCAATTCCCACTCTACGTAGTTAGATGGACGTACTATATAGTAACCGAAGCGTGCGACCAGCTGGAGTTTGCATTAATAAATAATTTCCGGATACTTTTACCAAACCGTTTTTTTTTTCTTGATGGCAGATTATAGCCTGGGGGAAATTGCGAGCGTACTGGATGTTGCCGGAGTTACCCGTAGACATCGATCACGGAATGTGCAGGACTAGGTGAAACATGATCAAAATAATAAGCTAGCAGATCGAAGCTTCTGACAACATACGTTATAGAAAGACATTCTATTTACACAGATTGAGGTCGCTGGAAATGTGTTTAAGTCGCGCGTAAGTTAGTTGCGGTTATTTATTTCTGGTCGTCACGTAAAGTTGGTATTTGGATGATTAAAACAAAACAAAACGTCAAATCAATAAAATATTTACTAAATGGCCAGCTGGACATATTAAATACTTTTTACTATGTTCGAACGCTAAAATTAACCTGTGGCTATAATCGTATTCATTAATGTATTAATTAAGTATAAAAAGGATTGCATGTTTAAAGGACGCGTGTGCAATAATGACGTAGTCCAGCATATTTTCACATTCGGTTGTCTACAAATTTGAATATCACCATCCATTTTCACAACAAATATGTAGGGGGAGATTTCCACGTGTCCATGTCGTGCGTATTTCAAGTCCTACTCGCTGACACGTGTTCGACAATAAAGATGTTTTATCGTGTCGTCTGCTCGTAACTTGATATCAACGCCGCCATGTTCGCTCACGCTCGACAAATGTTGCTAGCAACAGGTGCCTCTCCAGTAAACCGAAAATTATTGCACACAAAATATAGCAGTTCCTTAAAACGTAATTATAAATGTGCCACGGGCACTAAATTTTTTAGTATAGTATAGGGGTAAACTGGGTGCATTTCACCTCCATGCATGACGGGGCCCAGAGAAGAAACTTATTCTAAATTGGCATGCACATTTTTTTAATTGTTAGAGATATGTATTCAAAAAGGGGTTTAAAAATGACGTTTTTTTTTATAGATAGGATAGTTTTCTATTCGCCAACGATTTGGCGTATCTGAACTCGAATTTGTAACCTCTCGCTGGCAGTGTGGCAACAGTTCTGCACCAGTTAGCGTTGCCTATTATGGCCAAGCTGTGGAACAAAAGAGACCAACTCACACCACTGTTATGCCGGACAGTTACAGCACGCAAAGAGTTGAGGGTCAATGGTAACAACAAGTTGGCTCAAGTTATGTTAACGATGAACAGCGTAACAATGAACAATAGAAACGCGATAATGGCAGAAGAATTCAAGTCTAGAGCGAGGGTGGGGCCTGTTGATGAATTTATAATGGCTGGATAGTAATTCCATTAATACGGTTAATCCATCGAGACTGGTGGTTATAAATGTATAAACCATCAGTCTAAAACAAGAAAATCGAGCACACAGCGACAAAAATCAACACATGATTAGTGCAGCGCGGTTTGGCATGGACAATAAAATAAAGATGGTTAAAGGGTCGCGGAGAAAGTTCACTCAGAAAATTGTCAGATAATATATTTCAAATTTAACCATCATCATCATCATCGTAAAGTAGTGCGGGTCAGTCATTGTCACAGCCAGCCTGACACAACAAAATGGCAGTCAGAATAGAATTAAAAGCTTATGACGGCGAATTAAATCGGATTTGTCCTTGGTCTACGTTTTGTTACAACACGTGTCATCTACAAGATTTGCACATGTTTCTAGGGAGTTTTGCTTGATTGTAGGCACCCCCAGGATTCGTGATAATAGTCACCTTCAGCTCTGTTCTGCTGCATGTAACCGGCGACTAGCCGTGCCTTTGAACATTAATATCTACATCCAATATCATTAAGCAATATTTCCAATCCATATTATAAAATATTTGTAGCGTTTGCCTCTAAACCCCTTCGTTTTTACGAGAGTAATAAAGTATTCCAACAAAATAGGAAAGCGTGCGATGTTTGTGTCACATATAGGTTGTGTACAATATGGGTTCAATTTAGAACGTTTCTATGGCGATGTGATATATGTTAAAGTAAAGTCGGCGTTTGAAAAGTACACGCTAGGCTTTTCATACTGGTCAGTGTCCGTACGGTTTTCCTGGTAACACGTGTCAGAAAGATAGTTACCTAGTATAATAAGGCAATCTGAATATTAATCCCATTATCTCCATAGCGTTAATTGTCAAACAAATACCAAGTGTGTACGTTCAAACATGGGTGTCCATGGTTCAACATATTTCATTGTCTTTGTTAGGAGAGTGTTTATTATTAAGACAAACTATTGTTTGAAAGCTAATACAACAATCTACCGAACTGCTCACGCCCGTGTGTTAGACGGCGCTAACGACTACCGCTAGTTGACTCGACTTACCATGGTGCGACTACTAAAGCATACACGTACTTGTATATAACACGTATACTCATGTCCGTTCGCGACTTGGGGTAAAACATTGAAAGACTTATCTGCGGCACAGACAAGCATTGATATACCTTCAGCCATTTTATTTAAATCGCTATTTTAGTCGCATCGGCATGTTCAATGCACCGTCGCGTTTTAACTCCCACATTTCACCTTAGTCATTGCGCCAACTCGCTGCCACTCCTGGAAAATTGAAGCCATAGCAGCCACGCTGGATAAGGAACAAGTACAGACCCGATCCGTTGATTGATCGAGTGGTCTATTTACACCGACAGTTGAATGATGGTCAACTGTTTATCGACTACATTTCCACTAAGTTGCCATTATATTTGTGTGTGTCTTTTCAACAGACCATCCAACAATAAAACGTATTCTTAATAACGCAACATACGGATTGTTATAATATATAACAAAATAAACCCTGGTCACAATCGTCCTCTATATTGTTATATATCTGGGTCAACAGTTAAAATAATTTACATTATTGTTAATCAAACATTTTGACAGAATATTAAACAGGGGAGATAACAACTGACTATATATTTTAAATGGAATCGAGCGGTTTGTCAGAATGGATACTTGGTCCGTTATGTCAACTGAGCTGTCGCCAGGCAACGCTTTTTTTCTCTGACTCTTGTTGCTGCAGGGTAATTTATATTGAAGAATAAACGGCATTTATTCAGCGGACGAGTTCAAGATCATCAAATCCTCATGCATCTGCTTCTTTTTATTTGTCACAATATATCAATATGCTTCATACAAAGCGCCTCCTCGCTGCTAACTGCGGGTTTTCAGCGGGAAATTGTATTTATTTTCGAGGGTTATTTTACTTATAACAAATGTGACAGCACTCGGTTCGGCATACGTTGACGAATGGCAGACGTGGCTACTCGATCGGTATTTTTTACTCCAGTTTTCATGAACAAATAGTGTGCGATTTGGCTGGCTTTATCGTATGACCAGAAATAAGCGAGACACGTGGGGGAAACTCACGCCTTCGTCATTCCACCGGCACATGTGACGGTCATTTAAACCGGAAACGTCTTGATCGTATCATGTTGTTGCTATGGAAAGTGTCTGGCATTAAAACAAAACGACATAAAATTACAAATAAATGAAAGAAGCACAACAAAAAATATTGTCCATAAGTAAATACAATGCCAGACCCACTATATACACGTCAGTTGATATACATATATCCTTCTTGATTACCTTGCGAATTTAAAGTTCCTTTAAAGTCACGTCGAGTGAACTCAAGGTCGATCATGACGCGTGTTGTTGGATGGGATTGCTGTGGCTCGACTGTGCAAAATCAACACGAACCTCGACACCGACTGAAAATGACTTTATTTTCTCAATGACGTGATTTTTACATTTACTCGGTCATTCGACAGGAAGAGAGGAGATCGGGCCTGAAAATTTTTAAAAGTTATTTTTAGAGGGTGATTATTTACTCTATCAGCTGAGTTTGACAGTGTCATAACAATGTCGATCCGCCCCTATACACGAGAGTCCCGTGATGCAATGCATTGTTTTGGTCATATTTTTTTTCTGGCCTGGATAAATACTCACTGTTTCTGTACAGAAAACATAATGAAGAGACAAATGGATATACATAAGACCAGAATCGTGCTTGTTTGCGTCAAAAAAATGTGCTTAAGTAACTGATTTTGAGTGTTTTTTTCGTGTTTTGATGCTTTTATGCAGGGCGTGGCGTCATCCACGTGTGTCACACATGTCGTCGTCCTCTGACGTCATCACTCAGCTTGATCAAC